GGATGCGGAAATTGCAAAAACTGTCATTTGCACGTAACCAGTTGAAAGGCTCCATTCCGGGTGACCTTTGCAAAGGTGGCCTGCGAAGTGTGTCCTTGGCATACAACCGCCTGAACGGAACGATTTCGGAAGAGGTCATTTGGAATTGCACCGCTCTACAGAAACTGAATCTTGGACACAATTTCCTGACCGGCGAGATCCCTCCAGCGCCGCTGATGCAAGACACCAGTTTTCGACTGAAGCAACTTCGCTTGAATGACAATCAGTTGGAGGGTCCGATTCCTTCTTTGGAGAAGCTGGAAAAGCTGGTCGAGTTGAGCCTTGCGGGTAACAAGTTGACAGGTTCAATCCGTGCGTTGGCCTTAGGCATGCCCTCTCTCCAGACCTTGGATTTGTCCAGGAACCTCCTGGAAGGTGTGATTCCAAATCTGAGAAATCTCACAGCGCTGAAGCACCTGAGTTTGGAACACAACTTCTTTAGCGGCCCTTTTCCAGACACATTTTGCCACATGGCCCTGGTAAGTCTACACCTCAATTACAATCACTTCAGTGGAGAACTTCCCGATTGCTTTGAGTGGTCCAGTAGCTTCCGAAATTTGATGGTGCTCTTTTTGGGCAACAACCACTTCAGTGGGCCCCTACCGGATTTGACCAGCTTGGAACATCTAGCAGTGGTGACTCTACATATGAATGCCTTCTCCGGCCCCCTTCCGACCCTGGCGACCAATGTCTCTGTGGCGACCTTCCACGATAACGAGCTGAGTGGTGCCATTCCGAACATGAAGTTGCGCAAGAGATGCATCGACAACGAACGGTTCTACCTCCGGGGATTGACCTGCAAGAGGATAGGGAAGAAGCTGAAGCAAAGGCGTTTGCGATGCGAAGAGATTGCGACCAAGTACCACAAGGACCCTGGAGCCTTGTTGGCCAATTGTCCAAGAACTTGTGATGCCTGTTGGAAGTCTGAGCTGTGGCCATCGATCACTTTGCATTCCAACCGACTCTCAGGTGAGGTCCCCAGCCAAATGAGCGCTGATAGATCAGTGGAAGTTCGGGCTTTGGCTGTGATGGGCAACATGTTGGGCGTTGGTGAAGAGTTGAATGCGACCTGGATCCACGACGAGGAAGAACAGGAATTTCTGTACAATTCACGGGCGTCCTTCACAAGTGAGAGGATGATCGTGATCCAATTCTCCGTTCTTGTCATCATTGGTTGGCCTCTCAAGAGGTGGATCGAAAGTGCGCTCCGGATCAAACATGCCAATGCCGTGGGCAGAAAATTGATGAAATCCTACGTGAAAGTCTTGCGGATTACCAGTGGCATTGCCGCCTTCAGCGTGTTTATCTTGCCCATGTACTTCTGCAGTAGCAGGTGGGAGACAAACGTACGCCAAACGTGAGAGGTTGAAGATTGCCTAAGACCGCTTGGGGCTCTCAGCTTTCTCCAAAATGTTCTACCATCCATCCACCAAAATTGTTTTGGAGGTTGTGAAGCCAAGAAAAGATGGACCCCCCTGTGACTTGACCTAGTACTTGACCTCTCTGTGACAGTACAAGTGAAAACAACACACAAAAGGGTCAAAAGACATGGCCAGAGACAGTTTAGACTCTTCGACGGCTTGGATCGTGTTGCATGAGAGATGAGGAACAACTCGTGTGGCTGTGTCCAGGTACTATACGAGAGCAGGAAGGACTCTGTCACGCAGCATGGCGGCTTATTTGGAGAGCGATGTGTTTGAGGTCTTGGTGGTCTTCGCTTGGTCTTTGATGGCAGCGTTCAATTCCGTGGCCGTGATCACCTTAAAAGATGACCGGGCCAGATACCAACGAGGAGATCACCGGGGATGAAAGACAGGTCTCAGAGCTGGTCGTGAAAACCGGATGGATGTTTTTGTCTGCCCCAGTCGAAGACAGCCATCACCGAAGGCATGTACCAAGCATCATCCACAAAAGGGCCGTGATGGAGTTACAGAAAGGCTAGTTTTTGGTACAATCAGAACCCAATGAGGTCCAAAAAGTTCATCCTCAACTTGGCTCATGCTGGTGGGTGAAGTTGTCGGTTCTCAGAATAGGGTGGCCTCGCTCCGCAACCCTGAGGATGGTCGTTGTTCCAGAGCCAAAGCCCTAGTTGTTGCGGAGAAGAGATGGATGAAAAAAGCACTTGAAGATGGATGTGAACTCATCGTTCGAAGTGACTTTGTAACTCGTTTGGTGCGTGCGGAGGCTTCCACTGAACCGTGGAATCTATTCCGAAGAGATTCGTTGGACCCTAAGGAGATGTGGAGATGGATGACAGCGATCGCAAGCCTCACATATGGACATCGATCGTTAACTGGCTCTTGTGGCTATGCTTGTGTTTGATGGTTGCCTCGCCGTCGATCCTCTTTGCCATGGCGGAGGATGGGTTTCAGAACTGTCACAGTGTTCTAGGCTCTAGACACAGCTCGCATACTTTGGTGCAAGTAGGCCTCCAATTCCGATTGCGCAACCCATGTTGGAAATACTTTGAGTAGAGTTCTCTCTCCCTGTCAAAAGCTGGGACTGCGCAATCGACGCTCCTATGTTTACAGGCTTTGCCCAAAACGAATCAGAACGGCTATGACTTCGACTTGGACCTCATCCTGAAGATGTGTCACTATGGTGCCCCTTTCTTCAGTACTTTCATCGTGGACTTGTTGCTGGCCGGGCTTCTCAGCAGGGTCTTCTCGAAGGCCACTGGTCTCAAGGCGAGGACCGACCGCAGGGAGTGGACCGAAGGGAGTCCCGCATGCTGTGCCGACCAGTGCCTTCTTTTTCGATGACACATGGGCTGAAGTGGCATACATCGGGAGCTGCGTGAGATACTTGGGAGTCATGAGATACTGAGCATGGCTTTTTTCCCACCGCACGCTGCAAAAGGCATCCTTTGAGCAAGATGCCCAAAGGAACAGGAACATCATCCACATGCAAGGTTGTCCCAGATACGGCTTTGCCACAGCAGGAACAGCGAAGGTGGTTTGGCCAGCCAATCTTGGGACGCGCAACTCTACAGAGTGTTTGTTTGCTGATCGATCTGACAAAAGCACAGGTATAGGCTTATCAAGATTTCTGGTGGACTCCGCAGTCAATTCGGGACTCATTACCAACCATTCCATGCCATGGCCATGTTCTTAATTTGCACGGTTTCATCGCGCGGGGAACCCGTATGCAGAACATGCCTGGGCCCTGGGCCTTCCCAGAACCCTTTCTGAAGCATGTTCGCCCAACAGCGGGAACTCCACAAGTGGTGTTTTGCAAAACATATCACCCTGCAAGGCTGACCGGTTGCTGATGATGATGAAGCTTTGCTCCGAATGGCTGTCGCCGGTCGTTGCAACAGTTTTGCTACATGAGAACTGCGCAGCTGGCTGGAAGCATTTCTTTTGGAAAGTGTGCCGTGACAAGAAGCAAGCATACTTCGATTGGAAGGTGTTTGATGATGTAATTCTCACCACTCAGGAGATCTGCCATTTTGATCTGCAAGATTTCAGATGGTTCACCGATGGTGCTTGTAGCCGCTCGGTGGTTGAAAGCATGGGGACGTTCCTCATCAAGAAGACTCTCTTGAAGGCTATCCTGATTCCATCCATTCTGGCATTGGCTTTTCACCTTCTTCTCGGCCGGAACGAGTTTCACTCTGAGAGGACTCGCAGGTGCTTCAGCGGGTTTCTTTCTTGGCTCAAGGGCAAGGTGACCAAGACCATGAACTCAATGCCCCAGCATGTGCAGCTGACCACATGGCTTGAAATTGCTGTTATTTGGGGCCCTCTGGTGCCATTGCTGAGCATAGCGCTGTTGGCAGCGGTAGCTACCAACTTTCTGCTTGTGCAGTTCGCTTTATCTCATGTGGGACTGTCAACAGATGCCAATGACACCAATGACCTAAAAGCGTCCGTGTCATATACGTACTTGCACATTGCGGTGATTACAAGTGGCGCCATGCAAATTTGGTATGTGCTCAGCACCAAGATGTTGGGTGGTTTCTTGTTGCTGCCAGTTCAAATCTTCGTGATGTTCCCCCAGACGCTGCTGAGACCAGCCCTCACATGGTTGCCTTTGTCAATTCAGAACTGGCTCAAGTTTGATGAGACGCCGAACGATGCTGGGCCTAGTAGCATCGAGTTAGCTGAAACTTCTGGCGGTGCAGGCGGGCTTCACTATGCTTTAATTTGTGGAGAGATTTTACTTGTGCCAGTTGAGACAAGATGATATGACTCGAACAGGAAGATCCTAGTCCTTAGCCCTAGAGCACTCAGAGGAGAATTTGGGTTTGTCCCCAAATTCCAGACAAACAACACCCTGGTTTGGCAGAGGCTTTCAAGAAGCAGATGTGACATGAACAACGTGGCGGCGCAGGCCCAATTTTGCAGGCTGGGTCCCTGACAGGGGGTTGCAGGATGTTGAAGGACTTCAACTCCTAGTTTGTATTGACAGGTGCGTGTTCTCCACAGAGCCGTCACCTCTATATTCCGAAGGTTTTCTTTCTCAGATCCACCCAACATGTAAGGAGAGGAATGTGGGTGAAACCCCGCCGGATATTTCTGTCCCTTGAAAGGCTCAGCGAGATTTTGCCTCTTGTGCTCCTTGTCCCATCTGTTGCTCCTTGTGATCGTGGCAGGTGTTTTGGGCAACCGATGAGTTCGGCGCTCCATCCGCTTCCTTCGGAGGACGAAGGACCTGGCTTCGGACCTCGCAGGACCTGGCTGCTGAAGCCGAGGACCTGAGGGAAGCTGCGGGTGCTTCGGAACCCCCGCGGCTGCGAGGGAAGTCCCCGCTGCGACGGGGCGAGCCGGTCGCGACTTCCGAGGTGAAGGTCCTAGTGACTCGTGCGGCGAGAAGGACGGCAGGTCGAAGCCTCATGGTGCCTCGTAGCTGGGAGACACAAAAGGAGTCCTCGTGACGAGCCTCGTGACTTGTGACGAGCCTCGTGACTCGATTCGGTCATTCGATGTCGGTCTCTCTAGCTGGGCACCACTGGGCAGGTCCTGAGCAGCTGAAGGCGCTGCAGCAACGCTTCGCCTGGGAGCGTGCCGGGGCGACCTGCCGAAGTGCCGGAGCTGCGGGGGCGCTGCCGTTGAAGTTTGGCGCTGCCTTGAAGTGGGACTTGGGGCGGAAGGGAGTGGGGACTTGGGATGGGTGTGTTGGGAGTGTTCTCATGTTCTCCATGCGAATCGTGATTTGTCACTCAACCCTTCTGAAGTCCCATGGCCAGCGGGACACTTCCTGTCACCTTTGGTGAACACAAGGAATTCAAAGGGAATGAAGTTGCAGGTGCAAAGACAAGAACCGCAGGAAAACGAATAGTCTTTTTGAAGGGACGTGATGAAATTGGTCAAAGGATGTCAAAGGGTTTGTTTCATTGGGTGCAAACACTTTTTTCCAGCACTCATGTCTATTCGCGTTAAGGATGTGCAGTGTCAAGAGAACTTTCACATTTACATTATTCGGCCATGATCTTCGGATTCTGTTGTATTTGGAGGAGGAGGAGCTTTATCTTTGGCGTGTTTTTGACAACCAATCTTGCGGCTCATTCCATTTGTTTGTATTTATTGGGGGTGTCCCAATTGGCAAATAATATAAAGTGACTAGTGAACTTACCTAGAGAGTGGCCTTTACTATATAACTAACCATCATCATCCACTGTTACAGGGATTAGGATATACTTGACAAGAGCGAACCAAAAGAACATTGCAAGAACACAAAGATCACAACAACCGAACAAGTTTTCTAGTGCAGGGTGGTAATTGGGAGGAGGAGATTGGGCCAAATTGATTGGGACAATCCCAAGAAGCGTTTACTTCAGAAAAGTGTCTGACTTTGGAGAGACACAGCCTGTGAGTAGAGGAACCTTTTCTTCCAGTGTCTGCCATTTGATGGACGGACAGTTCTAAAAGCCAAGGTGCTTTCGGACATATCTTCGGACATATCCCCGAGATTGGATTTTCCGGATATTCTTCCCCAGCGCTTCGTACCATTGTACCATGCATTTTCGTCCCCCCGTTTCATCCAGCCAGGTGTTTCGACCCAGCCTGTTGCCCACCTGGTGCCGACATCGATGCGCGCAGTGCGGGCGGCTATGGTCGAGCGCCCCCCAAGCGTGTAGTGACTTGGCTGAGAGGTCCAGATCGGGTTCACTCTCCGTCCAAATGCCGCGCCACTTGCACAAACTAGAAAGCTCGGAAAAAAGACCAGTTTTCAACGCAGGGAACTGGCGAATTAATTGCCAAGGGGAAGCGTAGATGAATAGCTTCGTGGTAGGGGATCCACTTGACAATCTCGCATGACCCATGCCCCTGTGCTAAGGTGCCTTAAAAGAGCACCTCATTGGTCGAAAGAAGATGAACTTAAGGTGTTGACACCAATTTGGTGTTGCTTAATTTGAGATATTCCTGCATTTCAGTCATGGAAAAGATTCGGGTTCCACCCGAAAGTACTCTAAGACTGGAATGAGACTTCAGATAACGACTTCAGAAATCTTCAGAATGTTCAGAAGCATTGACTATATACCTTTAATTTCACGGTTAAACTTTTTAAACGATACACCAGTTTTTTTTAAGGACACCTCTGTCTCGTGGTGCTTGAATCCACCATGGATTCACGGACAAAAACGCTCCAACCTCCGACCGGTCGAACCAACGATGGATTCGATGGATCCGACCGGTGGATGGAGCTCGCCAACGAACGTGGGTCATTCGGTTGGAGAGTTGGCCGCTGATGAGGTTGGAGAGTTGGAGGCCTATCAGGTTGTTCTGCCGCTAGAAACCAAAGAAAGAACAGGGAGGCTTGGAGGTCTTTCGGTCTTAAGCTCGGCCAATGTTGTCGCCCCTGCCCAAGGAGTCGTCCGGAGTCGAGTCGTCGGGTTCCACCAAGAGATTCTGGTTTTGATGGCCTCCAACCATCTAAGTCACCCCTTCATGTCGGGGTCACCTGGCTGGTTTCGCCCCAGCCCGCTACGATCAGGGACCTCCAGCCAGCCACACCCCGAAAGAAGGTCCAGGGTAGAGAACCTGCGATGCTCGTCTCTCTTTGCTCTGGGGATCCATGATGTTCCGAGCAGCTGCCCACCTGAGGAGATTGTGGAACAGCTGCTCAGCACGCTCTGCTAGATCAAAAGTGTGGCGTTCGGCATCGCACGTTGCGATCACGTGGGATCAACCGGGAAGGCGATGGAAGAGACCCCCCCCAGCAAGGATAGCGAAACTCCTTGTCAAAAAAGTTAGAAATGGAGTCGCTTTGGTTTAGTTCTCTCCCTTGTGAAGGAGTTGGGGTCGTTTCTTGGGTTGCTGATAGAAGAAATCTGGGTAGTATTTGGAATTGAAAGCAGACCCCAAACCCATCAGCACGTGGCGGCTGTGAGTCTTGTCTTTCAGGTTCCTCTTTAGAACGTGTAAGAAGAAAGAAGAAGTCTTACAGATTCTTACGGATTCGGTATTGTGAGTGTTTTGCTGTACCGGACTGGACATGGCACATTCTTTGCCACTCAAACAGAAGGGACCTCCCCCTTTCAGGCGGTCGACGATGGGGACGAGCCAAAAGACGTCCTGACTGGTTAAGTTGGCTGTGGGTTATGGCCCCTCTGGACACCTGGTTGACCGGCGGTTGACCTGGCTGAAGCGATTCCTCGAACCTCTTCGGCATGTCGTGACTCGCGACGGAGGTGCGAGAGAAACCAGTCATGTGGGTCATGTGCAGACCCGACTCGGTCGTGTGGCCCGAAGCGAGTTATGGCCCGAACCGTCTTAGAACAAACCGATCCTTTTCAGATTTGGGGCTATATATACCAGGACCTGACAAACAGGTGGTTTTTTGGGCACCCCTTGACCTCTAAGAGGCTGTTTAGTTTAGATATCACCTGGAAGGTCCATATATACAGGTGACATGTCTATAATAGAAATGGACAAATCGGACCTATCGGCTCTTGACCCTTTGGGCCCCCATTTCGACGGTCACCGTCCTCACGACGTTCACGACGGTTCGTTACAGTCACCGGGGTCCGGTTCGTTCCGATGGCAGTGACGATGCGGAGCTGCAGGAGCTCAGTGCTCATCAAGGAGTTCTCAGTCATTGCGCCTGCCTCCTTGGGATGGCCATCACTGCCGCTTGAGCCGCAGCTCCGCGGACGCCGCCGACTCCGCGGCGCGCGTCTTTCGACCTCGCACCCCGACCGCGTGCGGCCGAGCGGCCGACCGGGCAGGTCATGGGCGTCGTTGGGATCGCGGCGCCGTTGGTGTCCATGGAGGCGTGACCGGCGGTGTGAACCGTGCCGAGGTGAGTCCGCGAGTGGCATTGGTCTTGGGGGGGGTAAGAAGGGCAAGCTGCGTGGGAATGGAGGTTTGGAGTCTAGAGAGTCAGAATCTAAGAGCTGTTGGAAAGAATTTCCAAGAGGCCTGTCGTGTAGTCTAGTAAAGCGTTCCACCTTCTCTTCCAATGTGCTTGTCCTTCAGGGGGCCAATGGCAAGGCCTCGTTCGATGCCAAAGAAGTCGCAACCCCATGGTCATAAACCATCATAAACCATCATAAACCCTACGAGTCAAAGACTATCAAAAAGAATGGTCTGACAGGGGATGTTCAGGACATGTCAGTTCACTCGGCTAAGGAAGTGTAGTCTTGGACCCGACGCCCTCGGGGTGTCTATGTAAATAGCCCCAAACAGCCGTGCTTCGGGGTGTCCATGTCCACCACCTCTCGGCGACCACGACTCATATGACGTACGCACAGTCAGATGACGTACGCATCATCCGTCTGGAAGAAGCCTTCGCATGACATCCGTCATCTCTGAAAAAACCATTTCAAACCTGGTCTTCACAGGTTTCCTGGTCTTCTCGTTGAATCCGATCCACCTCACGCCCTCCGACCCCCATGGGGCTCCCACTGGGAACCGAAGCGCCCGCTGGCAACGCGCCCGCCACAGGCGCCATCCTGGCCGTCCTTGGGCAGTCGAGGCGCGTTGCCGAGCCCACCCAGTTCAGGACTGGTTCGGTGCCCCCGCCGGTCTCGTGTCTCTGCTGGTCACTGCAAACAGTCCTGGGGAATGAGCACATGGGGTTGGAGGTTTGTGAACACAGCTGGCTGCCATGTTCACCAAGCTGGATGAGAGAACGAAGAAGCGGCGAATATCACTGTATCAAGGCCCATTTTTCTCTCCAACCAAAGCAACTCAGAGCAGAACCTTTTCAATCTGGAGTCTATTCCTTCTCAAAGGGACCCAGGGACCACTGCACCCTGACCGGACTCTTTTGAGTCGTCAGCGTCAGCTAGCTAGTTCCTTCCAACCCATGAATTCATTCATCCAGACCACATTAGTCTCAAAGAGTTTGTTCAGAGGAAAACGGATCGAGTCATGTCTTCCTCTTCATACTCAATACATGTTTCCCCAACTGAAAGCACACAAACACATCTTTCCCGCCGCGCCGCAGCCCCTCACGCCCACGCGCCGTACACGCGCTGCGACGCGCCGAAGGAGGCGATCTGGAACTGAGCTACTCTCGACCCGAACGCTTCGAGAGCCTGGGGGCCTCGGGACCAAACACCTTCGTCTCGAAGCCGAAGAACTGGAAGACCCGGCGCGACACGCCCGTGTCGGACGGAGAGGCTCGAAACCCCTTTTTGGGGGGGCGGCCCAATTGCAGCAGTTCCGGGGGTGCGTTTGGGTGGCTGTGTGGTTTTCATGTGAAAACCTCTTCCAACAACTGAAGATTGACCTCCCAGATATTCTATGTTCAGGTGTCAACCAATAGTCTAGTACCCTGACCCACTGCTCGGTCAAACTGCACACGGACGGGTGGCTATTTCCAGGGGCTAACATTGAAGCCAACCCACCACTGGTGGAAGCACCAATTATGAAGCCTTTTGCATGACACACTTGAGAATGACATATGAAGCCAACCCCTACATTTCACCTTATGAAACGCATTATAGATTTTCTTTTTTGTTGGCAGTGGGTCAAAACAGGGGGACCTCTTTTTTCTCGCACCGAACATGAATAGATCCCTCGAACATGTTGGGGTGTCAACCTACCATGGTTTGTTGAGGAAGGTGCCATGATGAAACCTGTCATATCCCCCAAGCTCCAACCACAGCCACTCAGACTGAACTGGGAGGAGAACCTCCCTACCTCCCTCCGTCCTCTCATTCGCTGGATGGACCATCCGGGTGGTCCGAAGTACGTCCGTCGTGACGTCGTGAAGGGTCGTGTGGCGAGTCGTGCGTGGGTACTCTCAGATGAGTCGCCTTGTAAACAGGAACCTGATGTGACCCTGATGTGACCCCGCCACAGTACGTGCCCCTCCTTGACTCATATCGGTGACAGTACGCGTCGCACCAAACCTGATGTCCGCAAAGGCTGGGAGCCCACCGAGCTCCCCGTCGGGGACCCCGGAGGGACGGGAGTGAAAGCGCGGGAAGGCTGTGGCGGCTAAAGCGCGGTTTGGGCCGCTGTGCTGCGGAAAGATGTGGTTTTTGTTTTTGTTTTTGTTAAATTCGAAGTTCAACTTCCAAGATATTTTTACTATAAGCACTTGATGGGTGCTTGAAGAAAGCTGAGTGAACATTTGTTGACAAGGCTTAAGTGATCTTGAGCGTCTTCATTCCCAAGCAGCGCTTTGCGCAATTTGGAGCTTTAGTCAACTCTAGTCCAGCACCTGAAGCTGTGTTCACTGGGCAAAATGCCAGTTGGCCACTCGAAAGATCGGTTCCTTGGCCACTTCGACACCGGACCGGGCGCCGACCGTGACCTCGCGCACCTCCGACCTCGGGTCGCTCAGACAAGCCATCTGCACGTGGACTTCTCCTTGATCGCGTTGATTGTGACGCTCTTGGCGGTTTGCGCCACTTGGCAAAAAGACTGGACGGCTCGAGTTCGGTTCGCTCGAGTTCGGGTGCGAGGAGATATCGGACAGCTTACAGTCCTACTGTACAGGTCCAGTCTGACCGAGAAAATCGGGTCCTCCTTGTCTCATTGAGTATAGTGTTTTTGTGTGAGGTCATCAATGATTTGTCTTGGTCTTTCGCTATTTTTCCTCATTTTGTATGATCAACATTGATCAACTTCTGTAAAATGAGGTCTTTGATCTGCAGGCTTGTCAGTGACAGGGGCGCTACCGTAGATGCGCCCCACCTCCGGGTCAACCTTTGTCAACCTACCAGCTGAGAAGCACGCATTGACACCACCTATCAACAAACTGCAGACCCCCAAGACATCTACAGTCTGTGTAGTATTCCAGTAGTGCGAGATCCTGGATCAATGTGGAGTCTTGGATTCTGGTCATATCTACTAACCGGTTGGAGGCAACCCCGCCTCCCACCTTTTGCCAATTACATTATTGCACGACGTACTTGTTTGTGGTAAAGCAACAAGATCATTAAAAACTAGCAATTAGTTACAATACAGGAGCTCAAGTTGCCATGAAATACATATATTTTATTGTTTTTGCTAGTGTTCTTTGATACAAGACAATTTGTGTTTGTCATTTGACACTTCTATAGTGTCAGATTTTATAACAATGAGAGAATGAGTCAATGAAGACCACAGCCAAGCCGGCCTCAAAAGCAACCTGCTCACGGAGCACGGCTCAATCATCACCCAAAATCCATGTTTCCGCACTAATGTCTTGAGCTCGTTTCTCAGATCTCTTTGGATGGTCACCTGGTGCCACCCAACCTTCACCTCCAAGAGAGGTTGAGAGACCTTACATACCGGTCAGACCCGGAGTCTGTGGTACATCTGCCGCCCTTAGGACCTATAGGGCTGTGAAAAACCCTCTCTTGGCTTCCTCCAACCTCCCAAGGTTTTGCCTCCGCTCCTCCGGGCGCCGAACGCGCCGAACGCGCCGAATGCGCCGAACGCCGCGAACCCCTTGGGCGGTCCGAATGCCGGACCGAACGGCGCGAACGCGCCGGGCTTTGGTCCGGGAAGCTCAGCGAGGGAGGGAGGGAACCGGGCGTTGGGCGGCGGCGCTAGGCATCAAAGGAAGCCCAAAAGCAAGATCCAGGTTTTGGAAGTGAAGGACATTTGTGCGGTATGTGGGACCAATGGACCTTTTTTAGGATTCCTCGGGTCTTCGCTGCAGAGTTCGGTCGCAGAAGCACCGAAAGTTGAAGAGATCTGCCCCTCCTGTTTGTTGGATCGCACTTGTAGCCCAGGAAGCTTTTGGTTACTAGTAGCGATGCCAGGAAGTACTACGTTCGTAGCGTCGATCGCTCCTAACTCGTAGCGATGCAGCTTGTTACTTGTAGCTTCTTGTTAGTAGCGATGCCAGGAGCTACTAGGAACCATGCCCTTAGCTACTAGTAGCTTCATTTGTCTATCAGCTTCAGATATCCAATATCCGCCACCCGGTAGTCATGATGAAAACCAATCTTCAGGATGTACACCCGTACTCTCGCTGCGTGCAACTGGTCCTCTCCGTCCTCTCGCTGCGTGCGCTCGCTTTTGCTCCTTCGGCCCTAGGCGGCCAGTTCCCCCTCAGGGACTTGCTGTCTGGCGCGGGCGGGAGACTCGTGGACGTGAAGCCTGGGGAGATGCAAGGCCGGCACGCGAGTGCAGCATGACATCGCGGACATCACGCGGACATCGGCGACATCGGATGGGACGGTGGGTTGGTCCAAAGAAATGGCGGCTAATCCCTGAATCCAGATGCGGCTTCCAGCTGTGGAGGGGTCTTTCATTCTCACTTTCTGGCACCTGAATCATTGGATTTCCTGCTTTGACAGCACCGTTCTTTTTCGCTGTCGTGCCGACATGAAGCATTGGTGTTCCATCGCTGTGTGTTGTTTCAGAATGGACCAAATCACTGGTGCCTCAGTGTCAGATCACGGCAAGGACCGATTTATGTATACGAATGTTTAGTTTGGGGTCTCTCCCATGCGATCAGCGGGTTGGTGCACTTCCTTCGTCTATCTATCGGCGATGTGGTTCATTGGATCCTGCTTTGGAGGCAGGTATGAACATCCGAAGATGGAGTTGGAATCCCCCAGGTCTCCACCAGACCCGCAATGTTCACACTCGTCACACGCCTAGAACACCCGAATTCCTTGGCCCGAATTCCTTGATCTTTCGAGGCAGATCTGGCTACGGCTATGGCTTTAATGCTTGGAATGTCACTTCTTCTGCATTCGAGTGGTGGGATGTGCTAGGATGTGGGTGAAAGATCATCCGGTTGGTGAACTCAAAATATCCAGTCACTGATGATTCATGTGTCCTTCTTCCTCCATCTTGTTTCAACTTTTTGGGCGGAAACGGGAGACCTCACGAAGTCTTGGGATTCTCCGATGTATCATGTGAAAATTTGTGTTAAGGATGCTTTACCCTAATTTCAGCTGCATTTCCTCAGGTTGGTGGCAACCCCTGGAGCTCCTCCGCCTGGAACGCTCCAAATGCTCCACCCGGCGGCTTCGCCAATGGCTTCGCCAACGGCTTCGCCCACGGCTTCTCCGGGCCCCCGTGGAATGCCGCGAACGCCTGGAACGGCATGGCGGCCCCGGGAGCGCCGGACTGGACCGTGGCTTGGATAGACTCTCCGCCCAGAGCAGACGAATGGGACGATCCGCTGGGGATTGCCGCCCCAGGACGATCCCCCAAACTCAACCCAACCCTTGGTTGGCACTCGTGGCAGTCGCATGGATGGTCTGGGTTGTGGAAGTGGAAAGCACCCCCAGTTTGTAGAGGAACATCGTCTTCGGAAATCGGGGCCAGGACGTTCATAGAAAAGCATTGATTGTTGGAGGGGGAGTAGATGGAGGCGTTTTGGGGGGAACTTGCTGATCCACCTGAAGGTCTCCAAATCTTGGTTGAATTCTGGGTAGCTATAGACCAAGGATGGTCAAGCTCGATCGCCGGTTCCCCAGACCCATGGGCCAGCGACCCAGTGTGTGAACCCTGGACGGAACAGGGAGGTAGGTAGGTGGCGCAAGATGACTCTTTTGGTTTGACTTTTGGGGGATCGCTTTTGGGGGGTGAGCGGCTAGTGCTTCACTGGCAAATGCCAGAGGAAGTCATCACCGAAGAACGAAGGGTGGGGTTTTTGCAGTTTTGGGATGTTTTGGGAAGGTTATGCCACCTGGTGGCACAGATCCTGCAGATCAACGGCTTGTTGACAAAAATCTGGATCGTCCGCTGTCTGACTCCCATCTCTCAAAGTGCCAAGGCCAACTCTGGTGGCGCCTGGCCCTGGAACAATGGTGGCTCATGGAGCTCGCCTGTGCCGTCGGGAAGCCAATGTTGATCAGTGACTGCCAATGACTGCCCTGGCTTCAACTTGCATCATGTCATTCACCTTTGCATTTGGATTTTATATGAGTTCTTTGCCCTCCGACTTCACTGCCTATGAAAGGCCGTGACGGACAGGGACCGCAAGTCGCGCTATATGAGTTCTTTGGTGTTGAATTGTGACACTGTGACAAGACACGTCAACGGAAGATTCCGTTTTCCATTGGGTCGGGGGAACGAATGCGCAGACGTAGAACAACGTGGTACGGCATCCAAGAACCTTCAGATGCTACTTCAGATCCCTTTGCACCCTTGGCTGGTGCTTCCAGTTTGAACCAATATATCCGGGGCCTTGACTTTACCATCCTCAACGCCGGTGTCTGCCTGTCGTCTGACCCCTTACAACTTTGTCAGCTATATTCAGCTATCAGTGATTGCTCATTCTCATCGAGTCCTTGAAACAGCTCAACGACAGACTTGGTCCAGAACATACGTGAGTTTCTGGGGTTTGTCTCAAGATGGGAGCCCACAACTGTTGTGTTCTATCATTTAACGACTATACTCCTCTTATAACACCTTCTTTGGGGTTCCCTTTTCCACTCCAAAAGAGCTCAGGCCTCACATCCAGGCCTCACATGGATCCTCTCGTTTCGTGGGTGCCTCCAGGTGGCCCTCCGGGATCCCGACGGCTCAGGTCCCCCTACAGCGGCTCCGGCTTCCCCGCGCGCCCGCTGGGGCGCGTAGGGCCGGTACGGGAGCTCGGAGGGTCGGGACACGAGGCCCATGCAGACCTAGGACCAGTGAATAAGAAATCAAGAACAAGACCCCAAGGGGTGGGCAAGAGGACACCTCCTACCACCAGACACCCCGCTACTGGGATCTACTAGGGGCTGGTTGTGACCCTGAAACAAAGATCCGCTTCTGGAGGTCGGTTCTGCTTGGAGCTGGCGAAGGGGAAGAAGACCCTCCCCAGAAAGACCGTCCCAAGCAATCTGTTCGGTGGGTGTGTCCAGCTTCAACTCGTCTCTTTTGGTCAACCGCAGGTGTTGACATCATCCAACTTTGACCAGATAACACAGCAGTCGGACAGCAGGGTAAAGTCATTTGAGGATATTTTGATCTTAAGTTCTGACCCACAGAACACTGCTGTGGGGTTTGGAGTCGAGTACAACGGATCGAGGAACCGATTTTGGCAGCCAGGCCCAGGCCCCAGGGGCCCCAGGGGCCCCAGGGGCCCCAGGCCTCAGTGAAACAGAGGTGCCGATGGTCGGGTGGGGGGAGTGTACTGGGCACTTGGATGGATTGGGACCATGTGAAAAAAGAGAACGAACTGAATGCCACTTCAAATCTGCAACGTGCATTCTGATTCATGTTTTTGATATACAGTATGTTGTTAGTTGAATGGATTGGGACCATCTACGCGAAACCACGGGCCACGGTTGTTTGGAAACCCCGCAAAGCACATTGATGATAGACATCCTTAGACCACAGACCTGAGATTTGTGGGTGAAATCCGGGGCTTTGCAGATTTTTTCGGATCCAGGATGTCTCATGCGGATTTCTCCGTGGATTCTTCGGGTGTGTCATCCGACCGTGAGTTTCTCGCGTGGACATCGTGTGCGCTTGTTTCACATGTCCCATCGGGGTGACCCCGGTGGATGTGCCTGATTTACGTAAAAACACCGTGCTTGACCTCGTCGAGGGATAGAAAAGGAGAAGGATGGTGCCTGATTTACGTGGATGCCACTTGCGAATTCATCGATGATGAATGAAGTGGGAGAGTTTGCTTACTTCAAAGCTTCGTGTTTCTGTTCTTGACATCGCTTAAACTTTCCTTTTACCACACAGCATCAGAGACTCTGTAAGCGAGAACTTCTGTTTTGGGAAACAACCATGTCAAAACACCTACCTGGCTGGCTCCCAGCGAAGATCTTCAGACACTTCTCGGCCCTTGGCAGGTTCAAGAGACGTACACCACCTTCGGTGAACAGCTGTTGCCCTGGCCACGTTTCCACAGATGTGCGCGTGTGGTCTGGCACAAAAACACGAATGGCCTGATGGCATGATGGTGTGACAAACACATGGGACATCTGAGTCATAGAGTTGACGTGTTTGACGTGGAGTTGACTTCCAGATTCACCTGTTCTGTTGGTCTGGGACGTTGGTCCACCGCAGGAACCGGCGGGAAGTGCGGGAACCAGCGGGAACATGCCAGGCAGCAGTGGGCTCCAGCCATCGCGACGGCCATTGACCAGGAGGCACCATGCCTCTGCTTCGCTAGACACTGAAGATGGGTGCACCTTCGATGAAACCAAATGGATGCCGATTTGAAGGGTCGAGGGGTACCCAATGGGTACCCCCCGACCTCCCACTTCGTTTCGTTGGAACGTCCGACATCGCCTTCCTCACCTCTCATCTCTCAGCGGGTCGCATCGGGCCAGGTGATCGCCCAAGTGTTAACGCAGCTGGAGCAGAGTGTGGGGTGGCCCGGAGCGTGGCTGAGTCAAGACATGGCACAGACGTGGCAGGCACGGGTCAATGAAGCCATGACATGCCACGCTGGTGACATCATGGCAACAGACTACAGCCAAGTGGGTCATGGTACCCGGGAGATCGGTTCCACATGAAGGACGTCGGACGACCACCTATACCAGGACGTCCACCTACCGGGCGAGTGCGGTGACGCCGAACAGGTGGCCTAGGACAGGGGGGGGATGTCCTCACATCACAAGGTGAGCTTCATTGAACACGGATGGCCTGCGGTTCGACGGAAGCGAACCCTTCTGACATCGGTTTTCAACCATACCCCTATGGCTCCAGGAGGTTTCCTCCTCAGAAGGTAGGACTGGACCTTCTAAACCCTCCCCAGTCCCACCTTCTAAGAAGGTACGACTGGAGCCCCTAGGGTACATCATACAACTGGAAAAGACGATGCTTTTAGATTGGAGAAGACATGAGAAGACTACCATTCCAGACCATCCAGTACAGTATACCAACCTGTTTGAGAAGACTCAGGTCACCATCCACCCACAAGACCCCACACAGACCCACCGCGCACCAAACGGGACCGGTCGACTCGCACAGGATCAGAGGTGGCAGCAGGCATTAGGCCCTCGAGGCCGTGGCTGGCGGTCCAGTTGCAGTTCGTGCAGCTGGTGTATTTGAGTTGTCTTGTTAATAAGAGATTGTCAATCATGAATCATGAATCATAATACATATCTCATATATATATACGGTATAAACATTCTTTTTGGTGCTATTTTGTCTAGCTCCATCGAAGGCCAACTGCTTGGTCTGCCAGCCCAGCTAGACATACAAACAAGACGGACCGGACCGATGTCGGACTGTCCAGGTTCTTTGGAAAAACCCTCTCAGATGTCAGACTGTCAGACTGTCCAGGTGGCTCCAAACGCTCTCCATCTCCATCGGTCCATCAGCCAAAGGTTACTGATTCCTTTTCGTCGACCATCCGATGGACAAGCTCCATGGCGGTTCCTGCGGAACTCAGAGCTCAGGAAGCCTCTTGTACATTCGCTCAGGAGCATCTGACCTTCTCCCCATCTGACTCCCCTTCGATGTCTCTTCCCAACCGACGAACCCACGGGCGAAATCCGGCGCCAGGCTGGCGCTTGAGCACCGAACCGTCCACAGGCAGCGAGCGCGTGCGTCGCGGCGACGCTGCGTCTCTCGCAGGCGGCGGGAAGGGCCGAGGCGTTGGGATGGTGTGTCGCCAAAAGGGACTTCCGATCAGGTGTTGAGTGTTGGGGTGGTGAACTCTTGAGGGGTCCATTTCATATGGCATATCATCGTCCAGTCCTATGATATTTGGGATCATGAACCTCACACTGGCGTGGGATCATCAACGATACAATTCTCGAAGGGTATATATAGTCACTAGGAATGAACCGTACAGATGCATCACTGAAGGAATGGACCATCTAATTCAGTTTGAATGGATCCTAGCATGACGTAAGCCCGTAAGTATGAACCCATCCACGGCATCCATCAACCCATCTTAAACATTCAATTTGGACCACCCCAAGGAACAACAGGGTCTCAGGTCCTCCACCAGGTTTCCGGACCGAAGAAACTGGAACCCATAGGGAGGCCATGCCATCCACGACGGCCGCTGTTGCGCCGGCCGCCGCCTGCGGCGTCTTCGTCCTGGCCTCGGACGCGTCAGGACGCCGAGCGTATGGCCTCGGGGCGCGGGAGCCGAGGGGTGAGGATTTGGAGGTTCCGGAGAGAGCTGATTTGGCAACAAGGACTTCTGCCAGGGCCGGAGGTGGGGTGGCAACAATGGACATCAATGGACATTTCGATCCACCTCTGGGGAAGAACGAAGCCCCTTTCTCAAGGGGATGACTTCTGGTGGTTTTTGAGGTGGCCTCCGCAGGAGCAGTCAGAACAAGAAAGGCATTCGGGAATTTGGAAGGGGGTCCCGGCCATGAAATAGTGGGGGATTGTTGCTCCATGCATATATGACCATGTGGATCTCCTCTACTTGGTCTCTTCAATTCAAGACTTGTAACCTTGGTCAACTTGGTCTAGATTGGTCCTTCGTTCACCTGAGCTGCTGCCCTCGGCGGAAGGGATTCCAGTGGAGTCAGCGCCTCTCGTGCCAGGGCAACAGACTCATCTGCTTCAGACTGATCACGAAAGGTAGCCCTTTAGGGGATACCTTGAGTTTGTCTTGCGAAGCAAGTGTTGGCGCGTCCGGGTCTAATAATTGATCATTCAATTCAACCCCCCCCCCCCTCGAATTGATTTCTCAATACAGACCCCCCCCCCGCGCCCCCTTGGAATTGATTTTTCAATACAGACCCCCCCCCCTCCTAAATTCAATTCTCTCCTGGAGAACGTCTTCGTGAGCCTCTCATGATTTCAGGATAGTTGAAACCGAAACCCTCTTGAACAGTCAGAAAGAGTGCATATGACATTCTAATCACGAAAGGTGTTCCCCGAGGGGATACATACCTAGAGTTTGTTTTGTGAAGCACGTCAATTCTCTCCTGGGGAACGTCTTCGTGAGCCTCTTATGGTTTCAGGATAGTTCAAATCCTATGATGCTCCGATTCAATGCTCACGAGCCATGGGGCAAGTTTGCTTTCCTCAGAATCTTTTTGAACATTTCGAGAGCATATGTTTGAACATTTAGAGTGCATATGAACATATATTTACGACAGGTCGCCTCCGAGGATAAATGACCATGTCGAACATTGCATTTTTGTTCCTGCCTCTCGCGTTCTCTTCTCTTCCCGCTGTCCTACCTTTCGTGTCTCCCTCCTCTCAAGTCTTTGAAATTCATTCAGCAACATCTCAATGGGTTCCATCACCGGAGTCCTGGCGCTACATCGGCGGTTCCTCCGAAGACGAACCACTCCCGAAAACTCACATAGACCCTGACAAGACTAGTCCCATGGAAGACTAGACTTTCCTCCACCAACCGGTTTTCAGGTTCCTGGCTCCACCAACCAGGGTGGCTCCATTCGATGACTGAAGACCGATATCGGTCTTATATGGGGCCTAGGGCGCCACGCAAGAGATCAGCGTCTTCGAGCGGAACCTGCCGAAGCCCTTCTGCGATGACCCTGAGGTGTGAGACAGCTGGTAGTTGGTGGATAGAGAGTGACAGTGGTCAGTGGTGGATATTACAGTGGCGTGAGAGAGAGAGAGAGAGAGAGTATGCTGGAGATGTTTGGTATTGTTCTGTAAGTCACGGAGGGGGATGGTCAACCGCAGGCCCCAGGCATAGACATGCTTGCCCCCCTCTTTGCTTTCGTGGTGGGTGTCATGGTTTTCCATACTTGGCGGCATGATTGTATGAGAGAACTGAGGAGTTTTGGTGTTTTCTCCGACCAGCGGAGGTAGGTCACTGGGCAGGTGGGTCACCTGGACCTTGTTTCTCCCCACTCCAATGAATTTTGCGTTTGTCTCTGCCTCGCACACCTGGTTTCGCTCCAAACGACACAGGTCCAGTCCCACGCACCGATTCTCGTGTCGCATCCGTTCGGTCCCACGCCGGCGCCGGGTGGAACGCCGGGTTCGCCAGAACGCCGCTCGGCGAGGCGAATCAGGAGTGGCAACGGCGGCAAGCACTGGAGAAGTTCCTGGTGCCGGCGCTTGTTGAGCGCGCGTTTGGTGGGTTGATGGGGTGAAGTTCCTGGAGGACGGAACGGAGGAGTTTCAGACTGGGCAACGATGGACAATTGGAGCTATGGGCAAAAACATGGCTGTAATATGCTGTAATTGTTTCAGGATTTGGATCACGTCCAAACACATTTGCTATAAACACAGGCCTGCTTCAGTGCTGACATTTGCTACAGGCCGTGCCAAGAAGATTTGGCTTCATTCAAGGGTTATAGAATTGTTTTAAACAATGTGCTGTCAACTATTTTCAAGGTCTTGGGATCGCTTGCGTCACACCAAGACCAACCAGACCAACGGCCGAGACGTCCGGCGTCACCGTCACCGGTGCGTCGCCTCGTGCGGCGTGGTCCGTCTGTCGGCCGCCAGGTGCATCCGTTGTTCGGCCCCGCCTCGCGGCAATACGTCCTCGAACGGCTCTGCGACTGGCGCCAGCAAGGGGCCGGGAACCTGGGACGGACCAGAGGAGAGCGGAGGAGGGCCGTGGGGGGGGACGGACGCAGCATGGGTGGGTGAGTTGCACCGGATGCGGGTGTAGGTAGTCAGTTGTGTGGTGCTCGTGTTGTGTTTTGCTATATTGAGGCTTTCACAACCCAAAGACATTTGAGAGTGTGAAATGATGCTTGGCATCTGGTGCGGGCTTCTTCACAAAGTTCATCACTATGAACCAGTCAGGGAACCTGTGGAAAGAAACCAGAGCCTGGAGTCACCTATGACTCTATGAGCATTGATTTCTGCAGGGTCATAGTTTGCCCTACCTGAAAACTGGCTGTCTTGTACCCCCTCCAGACATCTCAAGACCTATCTACCCTGGTCGAACGTGAAGGATCAGCCCACCCAACTGAAATCCTGCGTCCGCAAAGGTGACCGGGCACCGGAACCTGTCACCCAAAAGCAGTCTCCCAGAACGGTTGTTTGGACTCATGAGACACCGGACTTCCAGAGATCTACCGGGGGGCCGGGGTGACCCTGGCCTTAGGAACACGAAGCTACCCAGGGAGAAGGACGACTCCGTTGGACGGGACATAGCCCAGACCGTTTTCATCATCCTCCCTGCACGCACCACGTTCCTGTTCAATCTTGTTTACTATTAATGGAACCACCTTCTTGAATTTGAAGTGATGTAGGATTTCGTTCTTCAACCGTTTTCTTCTGACTTTTGCTACCATTCATGGAGAAAGAAAGATGCATGTGGGCATGTCCAAATTGAAACAATAGCAGCCCCATCCAGGTGTTCCTGGTTCTTCAGTTCATGATCTGGTTCTTCATCCCCTGGTGGCTCCGGTCACTCTCACAAACTGTTTGTGGCCTGGTCTTCCAGGCGGGTCTCCCATCCACATGGGACTCCGAAAAGACCCACGGAAGAATCCAAACCAACTCACAGGCTTGGTTCCAGGCAGGTCACTGGATCGGACTCCCAAAGCGATCACGAACTGAAGAAGGCAACTTGGGTCCGGTCCGGTCTTTTTGAACCACGGAGCTCCGGTCTGCCCGCTGCGTTCGACGAACCAAACTTCCCGCTCCGCCTCCACTCCGCTCCGAGGGGCCTCCAGTCTGGTCCATCCATCCGGTCCAGTCGCGAGACGAACCGAAGGCAAAAGCTTGACACTCTGAAGCACCGGGGGTGTCAAGTGTCAAAACTTCAGAGTGTCAAGTGCTTCTCTTTTCACCGGGGGTCTGAAGCACTTGACGAAGCACCGCCACCACCGCCACTCCGGCGGATCGGACGTATCCGGCGCCAGATTCTCAACGCCGCCCGCTCCGACGACTGGCGGCCCAACGTCCACATGCCCACGGAGAGGGGGGGGGCGAGAGAGAGAGAGGACGTTTGGTTTCCTTCCTCTGAATTTAAAGGGATGCTGCCTCAACTCCATTCTGATTGACTTCCCCATTTGGGGTTGGTCACCTGTCCTTCCTCTTCGGCTTCGGTTTGAGCCCGGTTCGGACCATTTCGGACCGACTCGGTGATGGGATCCGAGGTCTCAGGCGCGTGAAGGCCGCTAATGTGATTCCCAAACACCATGGGACTGCCATATATGTTGGACACTGCCCCCCCCTGTTAGTGCTCACTGTTAGTGTAACGAGTGCCATGTACAACATATATGCCCATCAATTGACCCCTTCGTAACCACCCCAACTGATCGGTAAAGGGCGCCAGTCCCATGGAGTGGGACGGGATTCAAGGCGTTCCGGAACAGGCGCAGCCTGCGATGCAGGATGCAGGATAGAGGCTGAAGCATCCCATTGGATTTATAAAGCGCTAACAAGAACCCCTGCCGGCGAATGGGGGGTGGCATCTACCAGGACCTTCCAAGAGGTGTCTATAAATAGCCTCTTAGAGGTTAAGAGGTTGCCCAAAACCACCTGTTGGAAGGTCCTGGTATAAGTCCTATTTTGGGGGGCCTGGCAAGTTTGCTCGATGACCCTGCTGTGCTGAGCCCCAAAACTGACTGGTCTGGCACACGAATGCGCCGAGGGTGGGCGCCACATGCTCCGGTGGGGGCTAAACAACAAGACTCATATCCAACTCATTTGTGTCCAATCAGTTCATGATCCGCTCATGAAGGACATGTTGAGGACTTGGATGTTTAGATTGATTCCGTGAGGATAGCCACATCTTAGAGAACGTGGTCTTCCAAATGCTTGGTGCTCAGACTGTGAGATCACTGGCTTTGCAAATTCTTCAGAGGTATGCAGAAGCATGGGGGTGAGCTCACTTTGAGGGATCTTAGGTCAAGAACTGACACTGTACTTTTTTTTCGTCATGGGTGCTGCCAATTGGTTTCCCGAGTGAAGCAGCTAGCATAGTGTACAAAATATCAACTTGGGTAGGAGGCTCATATTGTGAGAGTAATACATGTGGCTCATTCATGTCCTTGTATTTGCTGGCCTGGAAATACCCCAGCAAAAGTCCCAGCAAAAGCATGCCTGAATAGTGTAAGAACTCTCCAGCTCTCCCCTGAAGTTGGATATTGCTTCTTTGTAGCTGTCAAACAGGTGCTCATAGAACTTGAGATGGCCCTCCTCCACTTCCATGATTCTCCGAGGGAAAAGGGAATCATTGATTTGCACGCTGAAATACATTCACTGAACTAGTTAGTGCTTTCAAAAATAATTCACCCAAGGATTTTCTGCTCCCCAAATCCATCAATTCTATCCCCTTTACCCCGAGTACCACGACAAACCGGACGAGCTGGGCCCGTGACCTGCCCAGGTTGGATCTGTCCTTGGAATTTTGCAACTGCTTCTTGCCCCTCGGACCAACGAAGGTTGGTTAGTTCAAAGAAACAACTGGCAGGCCAGAAGCTCCTCTTTTGATGATAGAATATGAGAATTAGACTCGAGTGACTGAAAAATCTTTATAGACTTCACAAGGTGGCAGGGGGCCTTTTGTCGTTATTTCATGCATACCAGCACCTTCCAAGAGGTGGTTCCTGGACACCCCTACAACAAATCACTAAGAGGCTATTTATAGACACCTCTTGGAAGGTCCTGGTATCTATATTATGTATTCTTTTTCGATAGAGAGCCTTCTGGTCCGAGTCGGGTCCTAGTCCACATGACCGTTCAAGATCTCGGTGAAGCTTCCCGTTCGTCGTGAGTGAAAAAGCACAGGTCGTCGCGTGCGAGCATTTTAGCATTTTTGTTCAGGTGAAGCTATCTTAAGCTTGGATTCTACAGCACGTTGGCTATATCTTAAGCTCCTGTTGAGCAGGTTGGCTAGGTGAATCCTACAGGTTGAGTTATAGTTCAGCGATGTTTTGATTTGTTTTGATTCGCTCTTCTCCAGTGCTCGGCTCTCCAGGGCGGCTGGCCAAGCACCTCCCATGGCCTGGCACACCCAACTGGGGAAGAGACGGGTGCAGTGGATACGGTGGTCGCATGTGGCGCCTGGTGAGTTGGGTTTGGATGAGATGAAGAACACCCAACTGGGCGTGTGATGAGTGTGGCGATTTCGAGGCGATTTCGCCTGGGGGTTGTTGGAGATCAGATGCACCAGGTGGTTTGGGCGTTTCAGTGTGTGTGTGTTCCCTCATGTTCCCCCATTGGATGTTTGAACCATGTGGGCCCCCACTTATCAGGGCCACCTCTTCTGAAGGGTCACACGTAACCAGCCCAGAGCCTCTGCACTGTGGAGCCAGAGCCGTTCTCGGATGCATCAAACTGTGGCCAAAAATCGATCGCGGTTGCGATGTTGTAGCTGCTTGGGCCAAGCGATCAAGGAGACCGCCGTCAGACGATGAAAACAAAAGACATTGGAAGAGTTTCGAGCATCAGATTCATCTTACAGGCCTCAAAAGTCGAGCATCAATATATTGAGTCCGGTGATCAGTCCGGTGATCAGTCCGGTCTGGTGCACCTGCCAGGACCTCTTTGAGTCTTCTTTTGGACGAATTGGCTCCTCAATTTGCACCCCAATTCGCCCAACTACCGACCAGTTCAGACCAAAACAGGTTCCAAAACAGGTGCCGGTGAAGCTTTTGGAAGGATTTTGTTGGGTTTGGAAAACACGTTTTTACACGCAAACAGCACAAGTCATTTCAGTCTATTCAGGGTTGAGCCCCTAGTAGCTTCTTGTTACTAGTAGTAAGGCCAGGAGCTACTAGTAGCGTCCTTGCTCCCTTCGTAGCGATGCCAAGCGCCCCGTTCGTAGCTTCCGTGTCTTTTGGAGAGAACATACGGCTTGTCATGACCACACGCGAACGACCGGTGACACCCACCTGGGTGGAAAACGCTGCTTTCTCACTCGCTGCGTTTCATCGCCCCATGGACTGCTGCTTTCCCTTCTGGCCCTTTCGGCGCGGCGTCTATGCCACGATCTCGTATGCTTTGGAAGATGGCCAGTACAAGGACTTCCTGGTAATATTTAGGTCGCGAGTCGCTTCGTGAGTTTCTTTTTGCGAGACAGCATGGGAATGGCCTAGACACATTCCTTTAGGTGTCCGAACATATTGGTTAATTTAACTTAGAGGTGTCCGACATTCGGAAACATGTAGGGTCTAGTATGGGAAGCAGATGGAAGCAGCTCATTTGGAGTATGAGACCCCGGGTCTCGTGGCGCGCCACGTATCATACATCCTCGGAGGATGAGATGGGACTGAACTGACCCCGAAACCAATAACACCCGGAGGTGGAGGAGGTGGAAACTCAGGGCCAGTTCTTCTCAACCAAGGGTTTTGATATGGTTTCATACTCCCTGATATCATCAAGAACAAGTGGATGGCACCACCTCTTTTTGGTCGTCATCCTTTCGGAGCCCTTGGACATTGGAGCCATGGTTTTCTACATGAGCATCTCTCTGCGGCCCGCCAGACGCAGGCCGTTTTCTCTCCATTCCCACAACGTGGGTCAAGGCACCACCGAACGATTGACCTGGCAGGAGGTCGTTCGCTACATGGTGGACCAGGGCTTCAGGTTTTGACTGATCCCCAAGTGTGACAAGAAACGCAAAGACATGACAACCCCGTCCAAGTGCCTGTCAAGCGCATGCTACTCCACCTATTCCATTCTCATGTCCATCCCATTTCCAGCTCAAAACCCTCCCTTCTGCGCGTTCGCACTCGCCACAGCTGCTCTTCCTTCTCCAGGATGCCGGAAAGCGCGTGAAGTTCATCCAGGACGGCCGCTCCGCCTTCACCCGCACGCGGAGCCTGGAGACGGACGGCTTCTGCCTGACGACGCTTCCCCTCGAGCGGACCGCAGGTGCGGGTTGGGTTGGGGGGGCATGATCTTCAGCGTGAAGAAGGAAGAAGAAGGAAGACGAAGAAGTGGTTCTTGAAGGGTGAGTGTTTTTTCTATGTCCATGAATGTGAAGTACCTCAGGTGGGTAACCTGTTGAACAGTAAGAGAGTTCTTCGTGTGTGGCAGCAGGCGAACACTTGGACCTTTGGGGCGACCATTGTTCCAAGTGCATGGTCTTGAACCCCCTCATTTGGATTGTGAGACCTCAGCTGGCAGCTGGCAGGTCGAAATATATCGAAATATAATCTATACAATTAATCCCGAGTACCGAGTACCCATCAAAAAAGCCTCCCCAATTAAAAGAACACCACGTCCGAAACCCTAAATTCGGTTTATGTTCTGCGTTTTCGATGATTTGAGCAGCTGGCCGTCCCAAAAGGAGATGTTTCGCCACATGTCGCTGGCTGCAGTCGGATGGGCATGCATTTTCATGGAGTTCATATTTTCACCTTTCTTCACCTTCTGGATCATATCTCACTCCCTCATTCGGATGTCGGATGGGCATGATATTTCACCCACCATGAGCCGGTTCCGACTGTCCGACCAGTCGCAGGTCGACGTGTCCGAGCGAAAGAGCGATTTCGACCGACTCACCGCGACCTCGGTCGACGGGTGCGAGCGTTTGAGCCACATGGCGGGTGGGTTGACTCCACACCCGGGACCTCTGGTTGACCATGTCTGGTAATCCATTCGGTTCATTCTCAGTGGGAAAAAGAAACATGAAAAACGAACCTGGTTCTTCAAAGTGACCTTTTGATAACCTGGTTGGTTCGGTCACTTAAGCCTCCTGTTTGGGTCACTTAGGAACCTTCAAAAGGTCACGTCCTGAAGAAGCTGGAATGTTTGGGGTCTCAAGATGTCTCCGAACTGGCGGCCGTAAGACCGTGGACAGGCCACGACCTCTTCAATTACTTGGAGACCAGCAAGGCGCACGTCCCCGATCCGACACTCCGGTCAGAAACGAAGCTCCGGTCCGGAAGCAACGAAGCATCAAGCAGATCGGATGTTTCCTGCAGTACGAACTGGTAGGTGAAGGCTCCAGAACTAACAGACGATCTTGGACATGTACATGATTACTCGACAATTTTTTTGACGCCTGACAGCCGGGCACCCGGTATGAGGGGAAGAGTTGGGGCCAGTTCAGCCAGAGAATCTTTAGACCTTACTGCCTCTCTTTCCCTTTCTCTTTCTCTTTGCCTTTCTCTTCCTCTTCTTCTCTTCTTATTCCCTTTCTTCTTTCTCTTTCTCTTCCTTTACCTCTTCCTCTTGCTTTTTCTCTGTCTCTTCCTCTTCCTCTTCTTCTCTTCCTAGTCGCTTTGTTCTTTCTCTTTCTTTGTCTCTTCCTTTTCCTCCTCCTGTTGCTATGTTTTTTTTGAATCTTTCTTTTGCGCTTCCTCGTTATTTTGCTCTTTCTCTTGGCCTTTCTCTTCCTCTTCTTCTTTTCCTATTCCCTGTCTTCTTTCTCTTCCTCTAGCCTTTGCTTTTTCTCTTTCTCTTGCTCTTTTCTAAAGGGCAAGAGCAAGAGAAAGAGGAAGAGGCAGAGAAAGAGAACAGGAAGAGGAAAAGGAAGAAAACAGAGAAAGAGTAAGAGAACGATAATAAGCAAGAGAAAGAAAGAAACCGGAGCAAGAAGAAGAAGAGCAAGAGGAAGAGGAAGAGGCAGAAAAAAAGAGAAAGAGGAGGAGGAAGAGAGGAAGGGAAGAGAAAGAGAAAGAATAAAGAAAAAGAGAACCCGCAAGAGCAAGAGAAAGAGGAACTCGAAGAATAATAAACATAAGATAAAAGAGGAAGGCAAGAGCACGAGAAAGAAGAAGAGGCAGAGGAAGACAACAGGAAGAAGAGCAGGAAGAAAAACGAAAGAGTAAGAAAACAAGAATAAGCAGGAGAAAGAAAAACAGCCAGAGCAAGAAGAAGAAGAGCAAGAGGAAGAGGAAGAGACAGAAGAAAAGAAAGGGATGAAGAGGAAAAGAGGAAGGGGAAGACAAAGATAAAGAACTGAACAATAAAAAGATAACAAGCAAGAGCAAGAGGAAGAGGAACTGGAAGAAGAAGAAGAATGAGAAGAAGAAGAAGAAGAAGAAGAAGAGGAAGAAGAGGAAGAAGAAGAAGAAGAAGAGGAAGAAGAGGAAGAAGAGGAAGAAGAGGAAGAAGAGGAAGAAAGGAAGAAAAGGAAGAAAAGGAAGAAAAGGAAGAAACGGAAGAAAAGGAAGAAAAGGAAGAAGAGGAAGAGGAAGAGCAAGAAGCATAAAAACAAATATCAAGAGCAACAGGAGGAGAACACCCAGAAGATGCTGATAATGCAAAGAAACTCGGGCCGCATATTTCGCACCATGGGCCTTCGTCAAAGACTCAAAACCAATCAACATCGAAGCACGTTTCCAAAAAAGGCTAGGCCAAAACTATGTAAAAACCTGGGGCATCAGTGGGTGCTTGGTGGCTTCAATTACCGAATATGTGGGTCAAACAAGTTGTAGACCTCAAGCGCTGCAAATGCAGGCAGCCTACATTAGCTTGAAAGCCACCGACCCTCCTCTGAATGCCAGATTTCTATACAAGGAGCAAATTCCGATCGCCGCGAATCAAAAACATATTCTCCTGGCCCAAACTCTGACTGGTGAGGACAGCCAGTTCTCCTGAAAATGTAGGAACCAAATCCTGGGTGCAAGCGCTTCTTCAAGCAAGCTCCGCCGCCCTCAGGCGCGGGGAGCTTTCTTGAAGAAGCGCGAGCTATCCTGTAGGTGGACAGGACGTCAGTGACTCTTTTACCCGTTGTTCCTAGTAGCTTCTTGCTCCTAGTAGCGATGCCCTTGTTCCTAAGTTTTCTGTCCATCACAGCTGTGACGTGTAGAATCGGGGGCTGGTGTGGTGAGAAAGCGCGACAAGGCCTTGTACCCTCTGGCCGAAGAGGTGCTGAAACGGACCTTTCCGTGCTGCCGCTCGGCGAGAACGGCGTGCAGTGGAAGCCTTTTTTTGGGGAGAGCGGTTGTAAGGAAACCTGAAAAGACGAAGGCCACCTCCCACACCACAGGACTTGGTCGTTTGTGTGTGTTTTTTTTGATGCGGTTTCGTGACATCTTATGACAACTTAGTAGATGGTTCATGTATAGAATGCTTTTGGATGCTTTTGGCATGGAATATGGGACTATCCAAAGTCATCCAAGTAATCAGCCAATAGGACATGGTAGCCAGGGTTTGGACCTTGACATGGCCATCCCCAACTGAAAACTCCGGAAAACCAATATGTAACGTGAAACCAAATCAACTTGTACCCACAAATGTCCCTTCTTCTCCCCCCAACTCGAGGTACGAAAGTGCTGGTCTTCGACCACATCGCCCGGCATGACGCCCGTTACGCCAAAGAGGCCGCAGCGGGAGAGATCACCAAGATGCACCTGTGCCGCAGGGAAGGCTCTTTCGTTCGCTGCGGACCATCCGAGTGGGGTGGAGGAGTGAACAACGAAACATGGAACCGATATGAACCACTTGATTGAGAGAAAGAACACCCCGGGATGGAGTCCAGTCCATTTGCAGACCTTGAATCAGATCCGACCAGATCCGACCCACCAGATCCGACCAGACGCCGAGGCTCGCCAGTGGTCCTACCTTCTCGGTGCACGGCGATTACACCGTGCGCAGCGGCTTCACGCGGCTGCAGTCGTTGATGAAGGGCTACGAAGCGGAGCAGCGTCGCTCCGGCAGCAGGTCGGTTTGCTGGGTCCTTAGAAGGTCGGACGGCCTCCAGTTGATGTGTTTGTTTCGGCATCAAGGTTTGGCTCAGGAGGGTATAGTGGAATGGAGGAAAGGTGTTTGACTTCTTTTGAAGGCGGGCTTAGAGACCGCTAAAAGCGTTTTCCGCAAATGAAAGATTGTTGTTTCTTTGGCATGGTCTGTGCCATAAGAATCACAACTAGAACCTGCTTCAGAATTCCAAGATGTGCAAGATTGATTTTGGCATGGTGCCCTCTGAAGTGCATCAACTAGGCAGCAATTGGAAATCCTCCGAGTTCATTCCGTTTCTCATCGACACCTCCACTTTTTCTGTCCGAAAAAGCCGACAAAGAGGATTCTCTTCGTCCAAATTCAGGCGCTGTTCGGTCGGTGTTCGGCCGTCCCCGTCGTCCTGCGAAGCGGCGTCTGAGGCATTGACGAGGTCTTGAAGCAACGCTTCGCCTTCGTGAACGTTTGGGTACCTCTCAAGAAGGCGAGGTCGTGGCCGCAGTGGCCATTGTTGGGTGGACGGAAGCGGAAACCGAAAGAGACCCCAGACTTGAACGCAGCTCTTAAAGCTGCATAGAGAGGCTGTGCAGCTTGAGGCTATGCAGCTTGCTGTGTTTCTTTCGGTTTGGTTTTGGCAGTATTGAGTACTCACACAGAGCTGATCTTAAAAGTTAAAAGCACCTGCAGATTTGGTGTAATTATTGAGTTTCGAAGATGTTTCAGTGCGGTTCTTTTTCTCGGATCAGCAAACTATCCATGGTTTGACATGTGACTTTTTTCATGTGAAGGAACACTAGACTATTGAATCGGATCCAGCTGTTTTATGGTGTTTTGATAATTTGTTTTGCATCTTCCATCGTCCCTCTTCTTTGTCCACAAAGTGTCATACAGCCAGTTGACCGCAGCCAGTTTCATACAGACCTTCATGTTCCGTGCACGGGCAACCCGGATCCCCCGACCGGAGCGGCTCCGCAGGAGCCGAGGTCCGATCGCGCAGGTGGAGCGGGACCCGTTGGGTTTGATCGAATGGAGCAGCCAGAGGCCGTGCGATGTGGTGACTGTGAAGTGACTCGGTCGTGATGATTTGCTTCGGCTTTTTGAAGAGAAGAAAAGCAAGTAAAGAATTGAAAACAAGTGGGTTCGTTTAGGAGATCCCGATTGAAACGTTTGGAAGAGATACACCTACAACCTAGTAGGGATGGCTTCCAACCTAGTAGGGATGGCCTCTTACACTCCCGAAAACGAACATGGACCCATCTGGACCCTGTGCTTTCGGCACCCTGAGTCCGACTGAAGAGGCCTCAGTCTAACCGAAAAACCTTCCAGGGGTGAGTACGGGGGTATTCGTATTCAGACTGTTGCCTCGTGTTGGCCTTGTTTTTGAGATGCGATTCCACCTTCGAACTTCTTGTTCTTTTCTGGCAGAAAAGGCGGTAAATCTTTGTAAGCAGAGCTGCTGCGGCAGTCAGGGGAGGTTTTTGAGCCTGAGTAGAGCATGAGAGATGAGATATGTGGAGCATGAGAACTGTTTCCATCCATCCTCCCTAAAAAGACGATGCTCTTCGCTCCTTCAGCAAACACGTCTACAGCACCCCGCCCGCAGGCGGGCGCGTGTTGAGCATCCCATGCTGCACGATCTCGGGGGTTCACCTCTTCAGTCGGCTGAGGTTCATCTACCCGCACCGCACTGGAGAGACCTATCGCGTCATGCCCAGTGACCTCCACCGACGCTCGCTCCGAGCTCTTCCGGTGGACGAGCACCGTGGGACGCGTGAGGACGGCGATGGTGGTGGAGAAACACCCGGCGAGGTGGGAGGTTCATGCGCGAAAAGAAGGGTTGGTCATGTGGATGGCATAGCTCCAATGGCATGCTCCATGACGTGCTCCACTTGAACTTATCTTGTGGATCATGTTGGACAGACGAGATGCTCCAAAAATCGATGAAACCAACTGAACAGCGGAATGGGTGAAGAGCAATTAGTTCTCGTAGGCCGAGACGCAGGTGTCAAATCAGAATCTGACCCTCCAATCTGATTGGTTCCCAATATGAACCAACTAGACCACCGGTCACCTGGAAGGATCAAGGAGTGCTCGTTGGTGGTTCCCTCACCCGCCGCCATCGGCTCGGCCCGGCTCGACCGGTCGGTGGCACCAGTTGCGTCCGGTCCGATGGGCGGATCCAACTGATGGGCGTCCCCAAATGCGGACTAACCGACGGACCCAATTCAAGAGCAGATTCTGATTGGAAAAGAAGCGAAGGCCGTGGTTGGTGGGGAAGCCAGCTCTTTCATGATCCCACACCCAGATTCACTTAAAGCCTCTTAAAATGTCCTAACTTCTAAGGATGGGTCTACTATCCTGACATGCTGCCTGGGGAGTGCCTGGTATTCAAGGCCTGGCCCGACTTTTTCCACTCGGTTTCGTTGCAGTTGCGCAGATCCATTTCGCTCGGACGTAGGTGAACGAGCCTACCCATGCCCTTAAGCTGCTTTTGGAGAAGGGTGTTTGGGATTGCTTCTGGTTGGGAGCATGGATCCAGAGCTGATGGATCCAGAGCTGATGGATCCAGAGTCTAGTTCAGTCAAGAAAATCCCTTGCTTGCCATGGACCAGAGATGCCAATTTGGGGGATTTGACATTTGCCAGAGTACCTGGTTTTGCTGACAGGTGATGTTTGATGTTCCCTATGGCTAAATCCACTTCTGGTGAATAAGTTGTAGTTTGTTCTTCCAGGTTCCGGAAGCAAATCCAAGAGTAGATAGAAGATGGAACAGCTCAACACTCATGATTGGAATACAGACAGATCTAATTACTCCATCGATGCACGTGGATGGACGACACGGATGGGAGGGCCCTGTGTCAATCTCTTCCTCTTGACAGGACCCTCCCCTCTCTCTCTCTCTATCCTAGAAAGAAGAGTGAACACAAACGAGGGTGCTCCTATACTGGCGCACCATCTGTCGCAGCCCATGGATCGTCGTGTCTGGGCATTGTTTCTAAGAGTTTCTTCGATTTTTTGGGGCCAACAGACTCAGCGAACCGGTTCCCCATGCCCGACGAGGTCTTCGACTCCTCTACCGATGGCCGGGCGCGGTTCTCGCTGCATGGAGCGTTTCAGGCGTGGAGGGAGCTGGCGGGGAGAGCCGCGTTGGAGCGGAGGTTGGGGTGAGCCACCTTGAGCTTGGGAGGAAAACGACAGGAGAAGTGATCTTTTAAAGGGGCGTGTATACCGGTTGGGGGGTCACAGTAATAAGCGATCTTTTTGAGTGACGACGGATCAAACGCCAGACAAATGGAGAGGTTTGAGAGGTTTGAATGGTCTCGCCAAACTCCATTTTGTGACGCGTGTTCGTTGCTGGAAGCCAGTTTGACTCAGAACCACAAGGTGTGTCAGAGATTGCAATCCCAATCAGCTTAGAGGCGATGAAGGAGACATGTGCTAGAGTCTCATCAGGCAGGCGAGTTGGGCGATTTCTGGCCAAGTATGGGCAAGTGGTGGAATTGAATGTCTTGAAGTGCTAGCAAGTTGGATTTTGACACCCACTTTTGAGGCTTCAGAGCCACATGTGCACAGGCTCCGACGGACCGAGGATCCGACTAGCCGCCCGGATGCGGCGAGCCGTCAGAGCATCGAGCCGCTCGGTGAAGACGCGAAGAACATTCAGTCTTCAAGCCGACAGATTGGAGGCCGCCAGAAGGTTGGAGGCCGCCAGTGGGGTGGAGGCCGCTAGTAGGTTGGAGGCCATTGCTAGTAATGCTGCTAGTAGGTTGGAGGCCATCGGCTGCCCAGCCGTGTGCCGAACGTGGTGAGTTGGAGTTCCAGGTTTGGAAGGATGTTTTCGGTGGGTCTCAGCGAGAGGATGTGATTTTTGGGGCACCCGCTGCGACATGGAATTCCTGGTTATACCATGTCGGCCTCCTTGGTCCCCGAAAAGCGGGATCACCTGGCCAAGCCTTTTGGGGAGTTTTGGGGACACCCCAAGCGAGTCCAAGAGGTGCACCACAGGTTCACCTCTATTTCCCAGCCAAATGGCGAGTCGCAGTCGCAACATGCGCAAAACGCCTGCTGCGCGGTCGGAGAGCCGATAGACTATAGAGCACCATTTATGGATCTTTTTCACGGATAGACTAGATATATACAACTGAGGCTGGGGGGTTCTTGGAGTTGTTCTTTTGTTTATTTTTTTGGTTGAACAAAGGTTACAGGTGCACCAAGGGATGCAAAAGGCACCGAACCGTGATATAGTGTCTGACCATCCCCCTTGATATTCGGACTAGAAAATGGGAGGGGTTGATGTCTGTAGAGAACGGGCATTCTTTAGTCTCAAGAAGGTAAACTCACCGGGATCGGAAGGGGTCAGGTAATGCATTTTCTAGTGACATGTAGGTCACTGTCACTAGAAAATGAGAAACACAGGTCTCATAGGCGTGCTGGCAGGGTCATTTTCTAGACATCACCTTGTTTTCTTGATCCCACCTGTATCCTCTTTTTCTAGTGAGGTTCCTCATTTTCTAGCAAACATGATGAATCATGATGAGTCAAGGCGAGTTTAAGTAAAACATAACAACAAAAAATAGTGTTGAAATACTCAATATCTAGAAACATAAAACTCAACAAAGATATAGAAGCAGAAGTTCAAGATCTAGAAGCACAAACAAAAAATATAAAATGAGGAGGTGCCACCTAAAACCATAGAAACTTCATTTTCTAGT